CGCCGGCCGATAAATCAGGCGGGGGTGGGGTGCGACGGGGGGTCCCGAAATTTCTCGATTCCGCGCGTGCTGCTGCCCGATAATCGGGGGAATTCTTGCGCGTATCGCGTATCAAAGGGCGAAATTAGCTCCGGAGTCATCAATATTACACGCCCGGTGGTTTTAACGACGAGCGGAAGGGGTGGAGACGAATGCCGTTGTTTTCACGGAAATGGGTGTCCTTAGTATTCGAAAATTATCGCCGCGCGGCCGAGTTCTCCTTTTGTCCCACGTGGCAAGAACGGCTCTCGCTCTGACTCCGGCTGAATAACTCTCGGAGGCTCCGCGAGCACTCCAAACGCGGGCCTCGTGGATCGAGAATTTTTCTCTGATGTCGGGAGCATGTCTTTAAGGATATAAACAGAGCTAAAACCTGGATCAACGTGTCACTAAACCTTGTGTTTTTTATTTGATATATCGACGGTGTAAGTCGGCAATCGCATAACTCGGTTTGCGACGTCGCAGACTTCCTGTCATACTTTATTTTTTAAACGGAAAACTACTCAACGGCAATTCTTTAAAAATGCCGTGATTTTTCTTCTCTGTGCGAAGAAAATTCTGCAAAAACTTCAAGGAATGATGTAAATTTGTTCTCCTTTAAAAAAATAACATAGAGGCGGAGATTTTCAGACACCGCAAACGAGTTATGTGATTGCCGACTAACATCGTCGATACACTTTGAAAGTACCGGGTGAGTAGATTACGTGGTAATTTATTGCGTTTTTTCGCAGTGGCAAGGCGTAAATGATCGATTTTCGAAATGTCTCCATTTGAAGCTATGGTAAAGAATCGATTATTCAGATGTTCATTGTAAACACCCTGTTTATCGATCCTTTTCCACAGGCTTAAATGTCAGGTCAATCGATAAGTCGCTAGCACTATAGTCGCTTAGCATGCCGCGCCACTGGGAGCCAAAATCCCGGAGAAGCCCTCTTTTAAAAAGTTCAAAGACGGAAGGAATTTCAAACGCCTCGGATAATGTGGGGAGGGGGGGTGTTAAAGGTTGTGCACTACGGCAGTACAATCGCTATATCTCTTCTCATTTTCTACTGATGGTTGTTGAAATAAAACGCATTTCAATGTGGAATGGTTGCTTGTGAACTACAGACAACATGAATGAGATTTTTAAGGAACCTTTCTTCGGGTTCATCACTAGGTTTGAGGATTAGGCTTCACCGCCAGCTAATTCTCGATATCAAATGCAACCTCGTTCCCCTTTTTTATGTGAAATTTGGCCACTATCAGTCTACGAAAAATGTACTGGCGAGAGCCAAAGCTAGAAAACTGCTTATTTTCCTCTCAAAAATCAACCTTTATTATGATTGTAGGCGGGGAGACTATAATAGGATAAATAAAACAGGTGACCGCTTCCAAGGAAAAATAATCAAAAGTTATGTTTGAGCTTCCGCATTTCTTTTGTAATGCACACAGGTTACCATCCAATCATCAATACGTTGTTTGGTTGACACAAGGGCGTAACTACACATTGAGATGAGCCCGGAAAAGCATTGAAATGTATGGAAGACAGGGCTCATTACAGAGTGTAGTTACGTCCTTGTGTCAGGTAGACGACGAATATTCGACTCATGCTCAAGTCCCTTGTTAATTTCAGTTTTTTCGCAGAATAAACCTACTTTCAAATAATACTACTGACATTCTCGAGTGATCTGCAGAGCGACTAGGTACGTCATTATAAAATGACCGGTGCCCGTGTTCGGAGCCAATAGCTACGTTTATGCGAGGCTCGAAACCGGGGTTTCACGAAACCCGAGTTTGTAATGCAAGTTTTCTCCGTCGGGTTTATGCGGGCGCTGTAACCCGACTTTCGCGGGAAATCAAACTTTCCGATTTTGGCGCTGTTTATGCGCATATTTTCGATTGAACTTGAATTTCATGTTGGCGCCATTTTCACAAGCTATACTTCATTTTTCCACTATGAATTGATTCAATAAATTATTAGGTATTACTCTTTTATCCTGTGTATGTTCAATTTTTCCACAATATATAAGCGGAGGCTTCATCTTCACTAGAAAAGCCTTTACTGACTTTCTGAGCAACAGTTGGAAAAATGACAGTATATGTTTAATCATTTTACGTTCATCTTTAAAATTGAATGAATACCTAATCTCAACAACCCTCCAAATCATGCTCGAGCTTATATTCTGAGTTCAGAAAAGTTGCCATAGGTAATTTTAGTGATGTTAAAAATAATTATGGCAGGCGCAGAAATTCATCATGTTGTTGATTGAGCTTCTAATGATCTTACAATAGGTAGATATGGGCATTGAAAGTGTAGGAGTGCTAATCCAGTAAAGCACCGCACCTTCACTCCATGCTGTTGTAAAGATTGTATGTCTGCTATTATTGTAGTGAAACAAATAAAGAATCGGGATATACTTATGGGAATTCCTCCTTCAAGATATGATCAAAATAAGCAGATATTGATAGGTCAACAATGTATCGCTGAAGCAGAAGCGTCTAAATCCTCTTGAGGTAACGGACGGTGACAATCTCAACAAACTGGTGACGCTTCACAAATTTTGAATTTCCACATTCCCAGAGACACGCGCTGAAATCCTGTTTCTCACCCCTCTTTCCGACTGCTCTCCGAGTCCATGAGCAAGACAGGAAGAAAATAGGCAAGCTACCTACCACTGTTTGCCTATACCTATGTGTGTTTTTCTTAAACTTGATTTTCAAAGGTGACTCATGTAAAGAGCAACTGAAAAACAAGATTTCAGAACCTGCCATTGCATTTCACTAACCTAAGACACCAACCCAACCTTACCATTGATATTCTTTCGCTTACACTGTATATTATTCTCCCACTGAGATTCGATATGAACTCAATTCAAAAATCCTTCTGAATTTAATTATTCAGGTAGATTGGAATCTGGAGCTCTCAGTCTATCTGTAAAGCGCATTTACTAACATTCACTGCTGTCACAAGATATTTTTGCACGGGCAGAGCCACTTTCCACAGTTGATGCACCTCTAACGCCAAAGCTCAATTATGACAAGTGGTTCAACGACCAAAAATTGTTACACGCCTCACTAAAAACCTTATTCTTATCTCAAATTGAAAATCTTGGATCACAGAGCACTCACCGAAGAATCTCCTTCCTTCTGCATCAGTATGAGAAGAGTGACGATACTTTGGAGCAATAACTTTGAACTAGTTTCAATAAATGACGGCTTCAGAATTTGAGTCATCATTTACTAGAGATTGGATCAAAGAAATAAGTCAGCAGGTCACGGTTGTGGCTGGAGTCACACTTCCAGTAGGACAACCAGGAAATAGATACACGGATAACACACAAATTCAAGAGCTATGCAGCTCTGATTGGATCAGATTTTAGATTTAATCGGTAGATTGAAATGAAAAAATTCGGTGCACTAATTAAAGGGAAGCAGGGTGCCTTATCTTTAAATCCTAGGCAAATCGTGTGGATACGGTAAAAAAGTTCTCCGCAGATGATGAACTGGTAGATAAGGCTATTAGGTACTCAATTGTAGCCTGTAAAGCTCTTTGCTTGCTTTGCTTCTGTAGTCATAAAATGTTGATTAGAGTTGCAAGAATAATCTGAAAAAGCAGTAATAAGCCTGGATTCCATCTGACACTAAACACCTTCACTAGAAAATAACGTCCTACGTTTAGCTAAATAATGCTAAATAAGCCACATATAACTGAAAGAATCACGCAAAAGTGCTTCAGAAACAATTATAGTAAAATTATGGTTGTAAAATATGTTGAATATTGGCAAAATTAAAGCTAAATCGTGGGATAAGCACCAGTTGTTTACGAACGGTATGATAATAAATCCGCCATATTGCCGATCGCGCACCTGAAAATCGCACTTGAAGTCGAATTTCAACTAATTTCAACCTCCGGTTCGTTTATGCGGAGTGCGAAAACCTAGTCTTTAGTGTAAAATAAGGTTTCAAACACAAATTTCGGAAACCTACATTTCGTTAGTTCCGTATAGTTTATGCCGTGATTTGAACCTTGGTTTCAAACTCAGGTTTCGATTGAAGTTAGGTTAAGAGGCTCGCATAAACATAGCTAATTACTGCTTGGCAGCACAGAGGACTCAGACAGGGTAGTGGCACTACAGAGGGATCAGTTGTGGCCGGAAACGTAACGAGAGCTTATTACTGCGGGGACGTCGCGTCGTTTATATCATCGGGACGGCTCGAGGAACAGGGAGGGTTGAGGTCGCGTCTACAGCCCGGCATAGTAAGCGGCTAGTGTCGCACAGGTGATAAAAATGAGCAGGAATAGTAAAAAAATGTTCAGTGTCAGAACGGGCAAAATCAGGAGGTAAAAATGTATAAACTCCAGTTTCATGCTTTCCCGCTGGAAAAGAGTACGGTTTGAGGCACAAGGAGTATGCACTGAAACAAAATTAGTAGATTTTACCATTCCTTCACGCTGTATCTCACACGGCTTCAATTCAGAGTCAATTCGGAGTCGTTAATCAAAATAACTAACTAACTAACTTTATAGATCAAGCGATGCATTATTCAATCTGATGAATTTTGGCTGGTGCCTAATCTTGTTACAGATTGACCGTCCCGTGGTTTAGAATAAATGCAGGCATTCTACCGGCAGTATGGTGTATTGGTGTATTTTTTATTATTTTTTTTCGCGATGAAAATAATGTCATGGTTTAGGTTCGTTCGTTCTTTCCCATTACTTTCATCGGCATTCATCCCGGTGAAGCTCCAGTGAAGCACACTCTATTAGTCGCATGCTTTGAAATCGTTTATAATCGTAAAAACGATTCCAGAATATTTACAAATTCAGCATGGGCTTTTATACGGCCATTGTCCATTTTACGTCTCTCTTGTAATCAACATGTCACGAATAAAATAAAATAAAAATTTGAAATACTTTCTTTTCTATTCGTGTCTCACTCAGTTGCCTTCCAGTGATCGATATGTGTTTGCTTCGTTTGTTTCAGCTCATCGACGGATGCGAACAGTGACGAATTACTACCTAGTGAATCTCTCCGTTGCGGATTTGCTCATGGCCTTGCTCAATTGCAGCTTCAACTTTTTTTACATGATCTTCTCTAACTGGCCTTTCGGCTCCTTATATTGCTCCGTCAACAATTTTGTCGCCAACGTCACTGTTACCGCCTCTGTGTTCACCTTAGTTGCCATCACTGTAGACAGGTAATAATAATTTTTTTTTTTTTTTTTTTTTTTTTTTACTGCACGACCACCTTGAATTGATTAAAATTTGACTGCGGCAGTGATTCGATTATAACCGAAATCGGACTCAGTTTACCAAAGCTCCATTTAGAAACAAATGTAAAGTAATAAAATCGATGGACGTATTAAAATAACACAATAAATAAAATGGTGTCTTATTCAAAGAGGAACTTATGGTATTTGATTTCTCCTTTTGAGCCTGAGATAGAGTTTAATATTTTCTTTTTTTTTAAATCAACATGGGTCCATTCTAAGTCGAAGAAACGTTTGTTTAAAAATCAGATTTTTTCTTTTAATTCACAAGGACCTATTCGACAACTTGTTGTCCGAGAGTCAAAAGGAGGGAATCATAGGCAACACGTTTTGTTTTGAATGCAAAACCACCCTGACTTAAAAACAAAACAAAAATTCTCTAAACACTCAACCATTAAACATTTTCTTTCACTCCCAGAGCTAGTTAATAACATTTTCGCGCTTTTGATGCGTTCCAATCGCTCAAAATGCGTTGAGAAACACAGCGCCTTCAATCCGCTCGCATAATTATGTAGCAAATAATGATACCACTATTCGTACACCATGATGGTAATTTTGCATAAGCGACGAATTGAAGGAAAATCGTTGATCAAAGCACCAGCAGCCAAAGTATCATCTCTCGCTTGTAAATCGGAGTTGTGACTTACGTCATTGCTAAACTTATTACTTGGTAAGCTCGGTATTGTGTCAGTGAGTAAAAATTGTAAACTAAGAAGCGAGAACAATCATTTTACGGCGTGAATAATTTGAAATCATTATTTTTACCTTCAACCCATGTGCCGTCTTACATCTTATATCAGCCCTCTGCGTCTGAATTCGGGGTTAAGGTTGAATCTACCACCCGTGAGGTTTATATTTTTAGACGCATCTGTAGGTATCTGCATCAGTAAAACACATGAAAGAAACAATCTAGAGAACCGCGTCTGCTTAAGTTCAGGTAGATCTGAGAGGAGCTATATTTTTTGAGTCGGATACATCAACTGAAAAATTGAATAAGAAGAAAATTAAACTGTTAAAAGTCTCAAACTTTATGTAATAATGATTGCAGAGCAGAATGACACGATTACATCGGTGGTAGTTCTCTTTGACGAGTATTGGATGCATCAATTCAACATTTCAGGTTCCCATTTGTACATATTTATCGATTATCAAATCCAAACTAATATTTTTTGGACGCGGCTTTTCCAATAACCAACACTGCATTTGTTGATAAGCGTTCTCCACCCTTTGCACTGCGTAAATAAGTGTCCATAGGTTTTAAACCACTGAATGGCCGTTCATTGAAGGGAGTATCGACCTTTATGAACACCACGATTTGAAAATTTAAGTGAGGCTGGGAAACTTTTTTCTTGGCAAAGTTCTTTATAGTGCCTCGGATGAAACCATTTTTGTTTTTAATATCGTCCGACTCTGCTGTCTCAAAGTAATATACACTGAATGCCTCCTTTCCACGCACGGGGTTTTATTTGGAAGGGCTAAGGAGTAATTTGGTGGAGGGTTGAAGCCACCCTCTCCCCCACACTCCCCATATCGAAGCCACCCTTCAAGCGCGACACCCTTGATTTCTCCTACGAATATTTCCACGAAGAATTCCGATTATTTTTGCCTAACATTTTAAAGTCCACGATTCTGCACTTTGCAAGTGACATCAATCAAACAAATAATCAATTGTAGATTCTACGCTTTCAATACATCTCACCTTGAAACTAACTTGTATAAGTTCAAGAGGCTTAATTTACTCTCGAGCTGAGGTCAACTTTACCCCTTTTCAGATTTTTTATCTTGAACTTTTCTAAGCCTCTAACGGTCTTGCGTAATCTCCCGTTGCGCGGTTGATGTGGATTATATTATACTGCCCAAGCAGCGGTGACATAAAGAAGCAAATATAAAGGACAGGCGCATTAGTACTCTCTAATGCACCATGGCTTGAACGCAGATTGAGAAAGACCCTGAGAATTCCAACGAAATGACTTACCTCTTAGGACCTGACAGAGATTTAGTGTCAGCTTTTGCGCTTACTTCTTCCGCAGGGAAAAATGTTCATTCTGAGTTTTGGGGAAAAAAATTGAATGATTTAAATTTTACAAACAAATTCATAACTATTAAGGTCTCGATAGACGATCAAATTCCCGAACCAATTACCATCAAAGTGTCGGGAGTCATCAGTCTTAAACTCATTAATTTGCTTAACTTTAAAATGAAAACTTGGCAGAAATGTTTCCTGAAGCAGGAAATGATGAATGGTGGCACTCCATTCTGATCTTACTTTGAACAAAATATGCGGCCCGTCAAAATTTGATGGTAGATGGTGACCATCCGTCATCAATATGTCTACTTTGATCGGGATTGGTTTGGAATTTGATCGTCTATCCAGGGCTTTACACCTTTTAATTTAATATTATTGTATGGCATCATTAATCGTTGTACTCCTCGAGTAAAATTACGTTTTTTGGTCAATATTTGAATCTTTATAACTATTATATTGCACGCACTGATCGATTATTTCGCTGTTCGTTTCGCCTAATGCTGGAGCAAAATGACAAGTTATATAAGATTGATACCAAATGTGTCAATTCTTACATGACACTTCATTGTTGAATTAGATTCTTTTGAGGACGTTTATTGCAGTTGAATCCGTCGACTTGATGAAACTGCATTCGTAAATCTTTTCAATTTTGAGAGCTCGAGCTGATAGTAATAGATTTACTGCACCGCCTCTGAAGGTGCAGACTTGAGGTGCATGTGTGTGTGTGGTTAAATTGCCTTTTTCCTCTCACCATAATAATTTATTCCGCCAATCTAATCAACTCCGCACGTCGATTGCAGGGACGATGTGGCATAGAAACAGAATCTCAAATAAACAAGCGTAAATTGATAGTACGTGCTCATGTTATGCACAACGCAGCTACTTCTCTTCATTTTCATTCGCAAGATGGATAAATAAAAAAAATGTAGGTAAAAAAATAAATGAATAAAAAAAAACCCTCATTTTTACCACATCTTGTGTGGAGCACGTTATCCAGGAATCCAGGAGACATGCTGCCAATGTTGTTTTTAAATACATCTGGGTTGACAGGTGGCTGAGGCAGATTATTCATAGCCATGAAAAGGCCTTCGGAATGAAATTGGTTTCAAGATTTGGTGTCGAGCCTTTGTGACTATAGCGTAATAAAAATATTAATGTCTCTTCTTCTTGTGGAAAGTTGTATAGTTTGTTTTCCTTCCCACAGAATTCTTAAAAAATCCTATTCACAACGATAATTCTTTCCATCACAATGTTTTTTTTTTTTTTTTTTTTTTTTTTTTTTTTTTTTTTTTTTTTCATTTTCATTTGTTTTCATCGCTCGAATAGAAGATTGCATGATGATATTTTTGGCGCGCACGTTGAGAAATGACAATAACATCCCGCAGAATCATTTCTTCTTCATTTACCTATTTTCAGTTTGATCTAAATTCCTCTTTCAGAATTTCTTTCATTTTAAATTTTCAATGATTTAGCAAAACTTTTAAAGGGTATCCAAATGGTTTTAAGATTTACCTAATCAAAACAGATTGCTACATACCATTGAAGCCATACAGGCATTTATTGATCAAAATGCATATCGACGGTGTAAGTCGGCAATCACATAACTCGGTTTGCGACGTCGCAGACTTCCTGTCATACTTTATTTTTTAAAAGGAGAACTACTCAACGGAAATTTTTTAAAACTGCCGTGATTTTTCTTCTACGCGCGGAGAAAATTCTGCAAAAACTTCAAGGAATGATGTCAATTTGTTCTCCTTTAAAAGAATAACATAGAGGCGGAGATTTTGAGACACCCCAAACGAGTTATGCACGTAATTGCCGACTTACACCGTCGATATGGTGGTTCGAAAATCAAAATTCTAACAGATAAAACTTTCGCAAGCCCACGATAACTCCTGTCTAAGAGGTTTGTAATCATAAAATACCTGGGATTTTCGCCGGGAAGCAGCACTCATGATCTGGCAAGACATTTATATGTGCGTCTTCTGGATGAAAAAATAGACACGTTTCTAGGAAGCCACGATTTTCCACTAAAGTTTTTGGTCTTAGTTTTTCCACGCTGTTTTACCCTGACTTGTAAATTAGAGAAATCCTTGTCTTGAAAATACTTTCGCGGAACACATCGAGCGAGCGTCTCGAGGCGAGAGTCTGTCACCTCGATTCCCGTTTTCTTCCGCTTCCTGCGTCTCAATCTTTTGTCGGGCTCATTCTCGTGTCAGCTTTTCCCAGCTCTCACGACATGTCAGAACTTTCCAGCTGCGGTTCCGACATAAATGGTCCGCGTCCTTATTGAATCCAATAATTTTATACATTATTCAAACCATCTTTGACGCATATCACGCAAGCAGATTTTGCACCAAATATACCTGGGTCACCGTCAGTTTTTGCGGTGAATTATTCCACACATGTTATTTTTACCTCTGTCTGATCCTTGACTGGAACGCGAACTAGTTTGCAATACTCAACTATTTTCGTCCCCTCATTTTCTCACATAAAAGTAGGTTGGGCAAAAACAGTGGCGTGGCGTGCTTTGCGATACATCGATTGTTACGCCATTTAAACCTATGGAGAAGGATCGATAAACAGGGTGTCCGCAGCGAAGACCTTAATAATCGATTCTTTACCATTGTTTTCATAATGGCAGAACAATCGATACACCGCAATTCACGCTATGCCACTGGGCAAAAATTGAAAGAGACTCCGAAAAAAGATTTCACAGTAATGATAATAATCCAATAATGACAATAATGTTGCTCTTCTGTAATCCCCTCTCTTTGCGGACTTGGTTTTGGCCCGTCTGCGAAGAGCCCCTCCGAAAACATTCTTTTTTCAAGAGATTTTAAATCGATAAGGAAATAAAAATCCCATAGAAAATATAACTTTTTACCAACTGTAACATTCC